GGTAGATATCAAACACCAAGTAGGTGGATGATGGTGGGCTCAGGAAAGTTGGATTAAAAATTCGACTGAGTCGCACGGTTGCATGAAAAAGAATTGGGTCGGGGTAGCAAGAAGGGGCTAGACTATCCTTTGGGTGAGAGACCCAGTGTTCGAATATGCACTTCTGTTGGTATAAGAGCTCCATAAAGTGTGTCGATGTACGCAAAACTGTTTGTGAAAGTCCATGAATTCCGTATCGGTTGGGGTGACCNCTGTTGGTATAAGAGCTCCATAAAGTGTGTCGATGTACGCAAAACTGTTTGTGAAAGTCCATGAATTCCGTATCGGTTGGGGTGACCGTTGGTGTAAGTCCATAAATACCCACCCCAAGAAATACCCAAAAATTTAAATAGTCATTTGGGTGTATAACACAAATGACAGGGGCTTGAAAAGCTCGATTTTAATACTCACTGCATAGCATGGGGTAAAGGTAAATGATCGGAGCTAGAAAAACTCGATTTTATACACATTGGCATGCATGTGTTGTGGAGCCGAGAAGGGTTCGGGTAAATTGCATGAATGAGTATCATTTCATGGCTAGATATGTTAGATTCCAACTTTGATTTGCTTAAATCTAGGTTGGAATGATTGTTGTTGAAAAATATGGCATGTGAACATTGCATATGCATTTAGGTTGGGGAATTGCCTCTGTAGGAAACATTCTACTAGGCGTTGGCTCACCCTATACAAAAAACATTTCAGGTGCGGGGTTCGTACCGGTGGAGGATACTCATTCGAGGCCTCGAGGGTGAAGAAACTCGGCTTGTGGCTTTTGAGATAAAGTTTTGTAAAACTTTTGTTAAAAACTATGTTTTGACATGTAAATGTATGAATCAAATATCATAGAATTTGCATGGATCATGTATAATGTAGAAAACTATATTTTACATGTTTGGAATGAGTTTGAAAATGTTTTGGATGAATTGGAAATGAAAAATAGGTGAAACAGACAATTCTTGGCAAAACCTTTCGGAAGGTTTAGTCAAAGACAAGGAAAAACTAGAACACTGGATGAAACCTTCCAGAAGGTCTATTCTAACCTTCCAGAAGGTCTTCACATATTTCTAAAATGAGGGAATCCAATGTGTAAAACCTATCGGAAGGTTTAACACATTTTGCAGAAGGTCGACACACCCTTCTTAAAGGTAGGATCCCAGTAAGCAAAATCTTCCGGAAGGTTTATGAAGACCTACCAGAAGGTTGATGAAAATCTCTGAAGGAACTTTTCCAGTAAGTAAAACCTTTCGGAAGGTCGAGCAAAACCTTCAGGAAGGTTTTTCAAAAATCTGAAATTTTAAGAATGCATTGTCATGATTTTGGGCTATGTGTTCTTTGGTTCCAATGACACAAATGGACCTTAAATGAGATACATTGGGGTATATTTAACCTCGAAGGGATTAAATGATTGAAAGAATACAGGTCACACGTGTGAGTTATAATTCCGGACAAAGGGATGTTGTTGACGTGATGTCGAAATGGACAACAATCACGGATAATTTTACGGATTGATGGGTGATCAACGGGTTAACAAAGAATCCCCGAATTTTGGGGCGTCTCATTGCCGGTTCTCTGTTAAGAATGGTTTTATGCTTGCTTTGGAGTTGCTGAACTTGTGTTGGGTTTTTGTGTTGAGTTTTTATGTAAAAGTTGTGTTGCCTATTTTGTTTTTTGTACTTTTGGCTTTGGAATTGCTTAACTTAAGAGTACTTTTTTTCTCTCTTTTTTAATCTACTCTATATTTAATTTTATGAGCAAATTATATGCATTGTGGACATATTTCATATTTTTTAGCTAAATTATTATATTGTATAATATTTATGATTTTTATTAATTTTTTATTATATGATCGGTCCGACCTTTTTGACCCAATGGTTGAACTAGTAAACTATTGACTTAATCCTCTTACCGATCTAATAACATTGGTGTCAAGTCTTATCGAATTGTGTGAAAAACTATTCAATCTGTACACCGTTTTTTTTTTTTTTTGTCCATTGATAACGATACAAATACTTTGAATGTTAGAGATTATTTAATTAAATGGATAAAAATCTACAAATCGAACATAATTCGTTTATTAAACAAGTTACACGACACGACTCTTTTCTATTTTATTAAAGAGCTATGTTGGCTAAAATCAGGTTAACATGATAACCCATCACCTGTTTGACCCCTTTATCACTAAAAATTATGTATATGTAATTAGCAAATATTTTTGCTAACCAATTACCAAACTAATAGAAAAATATGATAATTAGTGATGTCAACCCACATTAAAAAAAATATTTAAAGCTATAATGAACTCATCAAAAAAATTAAATTTAATTGGTCTAATTATTAAACTTGATAAATTCTTTTAACTAAAAAATTCTAAAATAATTATTAATTTATTATTATATTAATTTTATTTAAACAACCAAACACATGATAAACAAATTAATTTATTTTATTCCAACACAATTCATTTATTAGACGGCTATCTATTTATTCAAACTCCCATCCAAACCATCTTAAATCGATATCATGTTCGTACGTGTTGATATTGACGGGCTTAATTAGGTACAGGGTCTTCAGGGATTTGGATTGGCATTTTGTGATCTCATTCGTATGAGCAGCAGCCTCATATGCATGGGCTGAGACATGTCTTCCCAACCCTCGGTCAATTATCTCTCTCTCTCTCTCTCTCTCTCTCTCTCTCACATGCATGCATACAGAGGGAGACCCACAGAAAATGAAAAAAATGCTTTGTGGTCCTCTATTTATTAGGTATTCTTCTTTTTTCCTCCACAAGGAAAGAAAATTCCCACTTGTGTGCTCTAATAATGAGATCTTCACTCATTATTTCTCTATGCCTTCTTGTATCTGTGTTGTATTTTGTTCCCCATAGTGTTAGCTCTTCTCCTTTGATTTTCCTCCCAGGAAGAAGACCCATCAGAGAATTGAGATTCTCATCCTCCATTCAACCAGGCTCACGCCACAAAATCAAGGTAGGATACTAAACCACTCAATTTTATTCTTTCAAATTCATTTCACTTTCTGATACTGTCAAAAAAGTCCAGTTTCTTTTTTATTTTTTGTTTAATGTAAGTGGTTGAATCTTATCTATTCAAAGAGGCTATGAAAGTTGCTAGGCACTGCCGTCCAGGATCGATCTTAAATCTTAAACCCTATACTTAAGGGCAGTGGAGGTTCAAACCCAAGTCGTCTTACACCTGAAAAATGTTGATTCTTGCCTCAACATTAAGGAATTGTAGAATTATGTAGACCTATGTATGGTACATTTGGTGGAAAGATAAGGGCTCCCACTCCTACAGTTTGTGGTTTACGGGTTACATGACTTTAAAATAACATGAGTCAATCGATAATCCTATTCCATGCAAATCTTTTACGAGATTCAAACTCCTAAACTCCCTCTTGAGATATTAGAATTTTGCCTTAGAACTAAGCCTCGAGGAATTGCACTTATGTCCCACAGTACTCACATTGCTTCTCTCAGTAACATTTTTAATTTAACTTACACCAATGAATTTTTGGTCCAATGATACTGGGAAGATTTTGTCTTAAGGTCAAAGGTTAAAGTCCTCTTTCCCTTCCTCCGCCCCTCTCCAAAAAATTTTTTAAAAAAAAAATCTAACTTGAGGACTCAGAAATCATGTTTCATGGTGCAGATTGATGGAGAGATGAAGAGAACCACAAACCAAGACAGATCCGATTCAACTTCCACGGAAATGAAACGTGCAAGCAGAAACGGCGTCGCAGATGAGCTTCTGTACCACATAGATTATCATGGGGTGACAACCCATCCAACCCCGACTCCCAAACATCCCAGACCGTAGTCCCACCTTTAAAAGTATTATTTAATTACATGGTGGAATGATTATGTACACATCTCCTGTATTACTGCTCAGTAATTTATAGAAATATTACAATGACTCGCTTAATAAAATAAGTAGTTTTCAATTCATATAGATTTGGATTGATTTTCTTTACAATGGCTCAATTTTGAGTTCATATTGAATACTAATTGATTCTAATTAATTTGATCAATATAATTACTCATGTCAGATGTACTAGTCTATCTTATTTATCAATTGTGTCACATTTTGAATAAACCAGCATAATCCGTGAACTAAAAACACCGCCTAGAACCCCTTTCTCTTCTAACTCCCGCCAACAGTAAGTCCCTCATCAACTAAAAGTTCACTCCACTTACATACCAAAAACTTGGTAAAAAAACTCTAATTTTACAAAAAATCATACAATGTTTAATTTAAAAAAAATGGAAAAAAAATTATACAATATTAATTAAATAAGTTATGGTATTAAAGTTAAGGTCACTTTATTTCAGTTTTTTATGGTTAAAAAAAGGGAAGAGACAAAAAAAAATGCCCAGAAACCACCCGACTATCATAGTTGAATCAATACAAAAGATTCCTACAGATCTAACTTACAGTCTGTCGAAGCTCCACAGAGGAACAAGGCTCTAAAAATGTCAGCCATTTGTTGTGGACAGACAGCTATTTGGATTTTTGCTGATGCCTTTGTTATGGACGTCTGCCAAGCCATCCCCGACCCAGAAAAACTTTAGATAAAAAGATGGGCAAATCATACATTGACCGCTTCAATTATGTGTTTGTCTCACATTACTCTCTCAACTATTATGTTTTTCAGATTGAACATCCTATGATTATTAATTTTACTTTCCCCCTCAATAATCATGGTCTTCACAAGATGATTATGGAAACTTCCATTCTGCAGAACTCATGGGCATACCCGAAATATAATAAATATAATGAGCATTTAGCTCTAGGAAATTGTGAAAACGATTCATGCAGTTGAATAGATAATATGAGAAACTCAAATAGCAAAATGGAGCAATGTGAGATCAAGATCATAACAAAAAAAAAAAAAAAAAGACCCTGGGAAGCTAAAGGTCTAGCATTGCCAGACTTTTAGGTTTATTCTCAATTACAGTGCAGTGAAAGCATCCCACTGGTGTATTGCCTTCTCACCTTCTTATACTTCTCAAGTAGCATCTTATACCCATGTTCTACATCCTCAAAAACTACCTCACTACAGAACTTAGATTTAACCTCCATGAAAGCTGCTTCTGCCTTGTCCTTATGCTGACTACCTAGATGATAATAGTTTTCAATACCAGCAAAAGGAATACTCGAGTCGTGTCCTTCAACCATTTCTCCTTCATTGAGATGCTGAAGCCACCTAAATTGTTGGAACAGATCTTCATGTCTCTGAACAGCCGCTTCTACATGCCTAAGCACATCTGAGAACCTTGACTTGAAATTAATTCTATTGATCAAATGTCCGAAAATCATTCTCTGGTTCCTATCCAGCCAACCTCCTGTAACGGATGATGAAACCGCACCTACCAAGCAAGCTTTCCGAAATGTAGGATCGACGTCACCAAGTAGCTTAATTGCAACATGCAATAGGTTCACAGACATAACTTTCAACTTCCAAAACAAAGAATCACCATGAGTGTGCTGAGATAGATTCTGTTTCTGATTCCAAAGATGAAGTGCAACATGAGTGAATCCTTCCCACCTGCAACACATATGATTGATACTAAGGTGCATTAAATGTCTTCTAACACATCAGGGTTCAGTTTTTGTTAGCCAATCAATGTTACAAATTCAAGGTCAGCTAGGATTATTGGCTTCCAAAATAAATGTGTGGGGATGTTCCAAGGAATTTAATAGAAAAAACCGCTTCATTCAGGAGGGTAGACAGCAGATATTTTACATAAATGGAATTTCAAACCCACAGGATATATGATTACCTTGTTTTAAGCCTTTTTATATACATTTTTCAATATTTTCTTGCAACCATTTGACTAACTGACTCTTATTTTCACCTTATGTTTCTTCTTGATTGAAAGCATCTATTTTATTTGATACTTTTTCTTTTTTTTTTTTTTGGGAGGGGGAGAGAGAGAGAGAGGAGGGGGACTTGAACCCTTAATCTCAAAAAGACAGAACCTTCATAAGGTAAGGAGTACCATTGGACCAAAAGCCCATTGGTGAGTGGTGTAAGATATGATTTACTATCATCATATGTTATTCTCGAGACATATCCAAAAGTAAGCTATTCCAGGACACAATGGGGCCAAAACCTTGTGTTTGGGTCTGATACCCTTTGTCCATATTATATATTATTGTAACGAACATGGGCCAGTTCACATGCATTGTTAAGTTTTTTTGGTTCTAGAGTACAAGCTCTCCAATCATTTAGAAGATACTCTCCCTCATTTATTGAGAAGATAATAAGGGAAATGCAGTGCCTACCCTAAGGAAATAGAAATAAAAACACATAGTAGTAAAAAAAGGAGAATGCATTTCCTCTTAGCATTTCCTTATTTGTGAAACTGTCATGAATATGAAAACTAGAACAATGAATAGCACCAGATAAAATTGAAAAAGAAAAGGAAAGACAATTAAAAAATTGATAAATACAAAAATGGATGCACAATTACCCATAGAGGATAAGAGTGGAAGCAGAATTATTCATTCAGTAAAAGGAATCCTGAAAAGCCAATGATCAAGGTTCTTTAGTCTACTATCAGCCTTAAGCCTTTGATTTAGCTTAGTTTTTAAATAGTTCTCCTACATCCATTCTAACCCTAGGACTGCATTAGCCTTCTACGGAATGGCATATACTGTATCACCAAACAAAATGTTTGTGCTGGCACAGGACAATAACTTTCCCTTTCTTACCAACATTTGCAATTTTCTACCATTTTACAGATCCACATGTACAATAAAATGAATTCACAATCATGTAGACCGTCCCATGTGATACATGATGGACCTTCCAAGTCACTGTTTCCAGGGCACAAAAGGCTCCATGATAGACCGTCCAGGGAACAAAAGGCTCAGAATCCTATCAATCAAAGGAAGCAGTAGTGATCAAAATATATAGGGGACTACGGTAATCAGTGATCCTGGATTAGGAAATTAGAACTTAAGTCAAGTCAATTGGGAGCAAGCTCTATATCTCAATAACTAAAGATATCTTGGTGTTAATGTATCTATTTGTATTCTCATTGTTATTATAAGTAATAGTAATAGTAGCTGGGGGAGAGTTCCTTCCTTCTAGGGAAGTACGTTAAGACCTATATTGAGAAAATATTAACCTCACATTTGAGAGTCATGTTCATCACAAGGTGGTCACTTGTATAATTGGGGCCTTATTTGCACTACACTTATTAAACATGGGTGAGATTTTCGGTGGCGTTCTAAAATTTCTACCGCAACACTTCCATTAATTCTGATGCCCATATCGAGTTAACAATATCAAGTTATCACAAAAGAGGGACCAACAACCCAAATATAAGGTCCACATGCACAACGTGCTATGAAACACAAGAGGCACAATCAAGCCAAATATAAGTTCCACATAAATAAAGTGTGATGAAGGGTAGACTGGATACAAACCTAGCCTTGGACAAGCATAAAGACATCTAATTCATCTTCAATCTGAACCAAGTGAAAACTAAAGCATTTAAGAACTTACTCAAATGGAGGCTCAACCTCAATAGCAAGAGTCAGATGTAAGGAGCACCCAGCAATTCCATTGGGCCAGTCATTATCGATGACAGTACATGCCTCATGATGGAAACCTCTAGGAATATATAAAATATCGCCTTCACTAAGCAAAAACTGTTTGGTCCCATCCATTATTGGAGTTCCAACCTTCATATCATGCCGGCTATCAACAGGTTCATACAAGCGAGGTAAATGGAGACTATACTGAGGAAAAACTTTCCATTTTTTGACTCCAAGAAGTTGACACACAAGCACACAGTGATCATCATAGTGACGAGCCAAACCTTGAGAATCAGGTGGTGTCAGGTACATATTCACACCTGCCGATGGTTGACCAAACAGAGATGCTAACCCATCCGCAATAGCAGCAATACTTTCAAAGCGAAACTCCATGCCACGCAGTGTAATTGTGTATCCCTCTTTGTATGCTTCTTTACATCTCAAAACATTGTCCATATAGAGAAAATGAGGAGCCTGGGAGCAACTAGACCCTAAACACTCCTGAAAGTAATGCATCTCTCTTTCTGAATGCTCTGTTTTTAGGACCCGAATGTCCTGTTGGTAAATTATGGGACATCCTAGATGATTTTCCACCTCCTTCAGAAAACTAAGGACATTTAGCTCATCCGAAGCTATTGCTGGACAAGAAGTAAGATTTTGGAGGATTGAATGAATAAAAGAAAGAACTCCTTCAGAGCTAAGATGTTGTAGAAACGAACTGAAAATATCATCTTCTTTAGTCAAAGCTTTTGAAGGCCTCCTCATAAGCAAAGGAGATAACTCCCAATGGTTCAACACAAAATCTTCAAAAGTAGTCCCACTTGAACTGAAAATGCTTCTCTCGACTTTCTTGAAGTTGGAAGGTCTTGTGAATTGCCCAGCATTTATGGAGAGCCTGAAAATGTTTTCTGCTAGAGTATTTGTTCTGATATTGGTTACATAAGAATGTCTCCCCTGGTTAAATTTCAGAATGTTCCCACATAACATCTGTTTATGTGCATCTGCCCATAGCTTTTTAAAATAAAGCAGTAAACTTTCAGAGAGCTTCCTTGGGATCTTCTCCAGCTGTTCAATCGTGCAGCTGTTAATAAGAGTAACTGCAGCATGAAGAAGCAATACCAGAAACTCATCTTCTTTCAACCCTATTCTCGGAAAGGTTTCAGTGCCCTTTTCCTCAATGAATAGAGAAACCGATGCTGCTGAAGATTTAGGGACCTGAATGAAACAAGAACTAGAAGAAAATGAGGACAGTTAACACGTAAAAGCGAAATTCTGAAACATCAAACAAACGAAATGAGAGAAGCATCAAAAATAAGAAAAACCAAATAAATAAATAGATAAATAGGAGGCGGAAATCCTTCTTTTTCCTCATACGATACGATAGCCACACATTTGGAACATCTTTTGGATCAAGTCACACTAAATTTATGAAGCTAGTTCATCTTCAATCTCAAATCTCTCCTTATTAAGAAAAATGTGTCCCAAGAAGCAGAAATATAGCGATAAAAACTAGGTCCTGTTTGGCAACAGTTTCCTTTTCAGTTTTTCTATTTTTTTTAAAGTTTTTGTGAAAACTAGAAACAACAAAGCGTTTAGTATTATGTTTTTTTTTTAAGTGAAATCATTTTTGAAAACACAAAAACATGGGTATCATTTTGTCACGTTTCCATTTTATCCGGGAAAAAAATGTAAATAGAAATTGCTCGTTCTTTTTTTGTTGAAACTTGAACAATCGAATATTAGGGTTTAGAGAAAAAAAGAGAAGAAGAAGAGGAGGAGGAGGAAGAGAGAAAGAAAAAGATTATGAAACCATATTGTGTAGAATTTTTGCTGCCTACACCCTTTCACCAATTTATATTAGATTGATATGAAGACAATTACAATATTAAGGATGTAGAACATACTAGAAAAGTAGAACAAAATAGAAAAGCGACCTTAATAATAGAAAAGTAGACCAATAGCAAAGTAACAATCTAACACTCCCTCTCAAGAGCATAGAAATCAAAAATATCCAATTTTGAACAAATGCTACTAAAGGTGGACCGCACCAATGATTTGATAAGAATATTACAGAGTTGATCACCAGACTTTACAAACAAGGTTGCAATATCTCCATGTAAATATTAAGCATAGTTCTACATGACTGCTTTGGACTATCCAAGGACTTATTTAATCGACACACAATACAATGACACTTTTCCTAACAAACCCACTTCGTTGCTCCATGTGAATCTAAGGCATGAACTGAACGACAACAATACCGGCACAAACGAACACAACCAATAATACTATAACAAACCATAGACAATAACAAATTAGACCACAACAATCGAAAATAGGGTAAAACAAAGCAGAATAGAAGTTAAATCGGCCAAAAAGGGGTTGAACCAATGCTAAAAAACATAAAACTAGTACTGAACCAGGATGAAAACTCCAATATGAGTCGGCTGAGTCGTTTCGCTTCACATTAAATAAAAACTTTGAGTCTCACACAATATGGCCGAGTCGTATGAGACTTTCAAGTCAACCCCGAGTCACTGAATTATCATCAGCGAATTGGCTGATACCGTTCCATTGTGCCACGATATGACATGCATTTCTCGTCATATCCAATTTCTTTTATTAGGTCATATCGCCCAATATTATTNTAGGTCATATCGCCCAATACTATCCTGTAAAACCTCCACCGATGTCTCGTTCTCCGAGTTGATGGTTGATATTACAACCTTGAACATTCCATTGAAACGACTCTAAATCAAGCTAAAAATACTGAATCGACACTCAACCGAGATGAAAATGAGTAAACCAACACCAAATTGGGCTTAAACCGTCTAAACAAACACTAAATCGAGCTAAAAACACTAAACCAACACTAAGACTGGCCAAAAACATAGACAACAACAACTAGCGGACATAGAGATGATGACATCTTTGATATGTGTTGACCGACCCAACCACCAGGTGAGTGAGGCGCTCGCCTAGAGCCCCCACTCACCCAAATATCCAACTCTAATATCATGTTGAATCTTGAATAATTGAATATTAAGGTAAAAAAAAAGAGATTAGGAAACCATATTGTGTGTGAAATTTGAATTGCCTTCAACCTGTCGCCTATTTATACCGGAGAGCTTTTTACCAAATCCATGTGCTTTGAAAAAATAATTCTCAAAATGGGTTAGTTTTGAAACTATTTTTCTAACTCAAACAGTTTTTAAAAACGTCACTCCAATTGATGTCTTTAAAATAAAAATATTAGTCCAAAAATAAGTTTTTAACTTAAAAACGACAGTCCATTTGACGTCTTCAAAATAAAAATATTAGTTATCTGTTCAAACATTTTTAAATTCCATCTATTGGGCTTCATCTGTTTTCCTTTTTTTAATAAAAGGGCATCTGCCTTCATTTATTCAAAGCACACCGTCCACCACCATTGTGTCCTCTCTCCCTCCCCCCCCCAATCGTCCCTCCTCTCTCTTTCATTACTATTTGCGCACACATAGCCAATGAGTAAATTCGCATTCATAATCATCTCTTCACCCCCTGACCTCGGTACACCACCTCGGAATCGATGTATCCACCTTTGACCCACCGCCACACTCTTTCAGGCAATCGAAGATGGGTGCATTGTAGGTGACTGTGGGTGCCAAGATGGTGGATCTGGGTTTAATTTAGAGGTTATGATTAAGGCGTGCACAGTGGCAACTGTGAATGGGTTTCGATTTTTTAATTTATGGTGGTCTTGGTGCAGCTGCCTTTTTTTTTTCCCTCTTTAGAAGTTTGGATGGGTATTTTTTGGGTGTTGAAGGAGACATTGCACAATTGCTTTGCTTAACCATGAAGGGAAGAGGAGGGGAAAATGGACAATTCATACTATGAAATTTGTTTGCTTCAGCAAAACCCAACCCAAACATGCAAGTAGACAATGGGGGAAAAACGTCAATTCCACTGACATTTTCAAGATGCACAATTTTTTTATTTTTTTATTTATTTTTTTTTTTTTTGTGTTCCGTAGACTGATAAAAAGCTCTATACTAGATTGACATTGAAGACAATTAAAATATTAGGAAAGTAGAATATATTAGGAAAGCGACATAGGTAAGTAGAATAACAAAACATGTTATGTTATGTTATATTAGGATGTAACCCATTAGGGTATGTTTGGCATTTGATGGTTATATATATATGGAATGTAGTTGTGCAACCCTCACACACTATTCTCTTCACATAATCTTCTCTTCTTCCTCTCTTATTCTTCTCTCTTGTTACAAACCCTAACAACTTCATAATCTAACTTGATATTAGAGCCTTGATCAAAATCTATAGTCGAAATTCCCCATTGTGCAGTCAACAATGTTTTCTGCCAGGCTAACGTCAACATCAAACATGTCAAAAAATTTCGGAAAAATTATAGACAGATTCGATTGAAACTTTTGGGAATATTGGTTATTTTGCAAATTTTTTTGAAGCCGTTTGACTAGTTTTTTCAATTTTTGAAGTTTTTTCGGGTTTAAGTTGTCGAGGTGAGATCTCCAATTTCAGCCCAATTTGTTGCTTGTTTTTCGATGGATTCCTCTTGGTGAGGCTCGACTGGGAGTAATCTAGACTACCCATCCAATTTTGTTGCATTTGGATGGGATTTCTGCAGTGTTTTGGTCAAAACTGAACCGGCGCTTTACAACAATGGGGGGAACCCCTTTCTATGGAGCGGCCTGGGCAAGGGATTAGTGCTGACGACCCCTCAGCTCCATGCGGGCCAATCAAGCCCGGCATAAATCTGCACTTGAGCTCACTGTTAGTTTCCATCTAACAACTTACTGGATTGCAAGAATTTAAATTGCACTCCTGAAACACATATTCAAGATGAGGAAATGCCAATAAGCCACATTAAAAGTTTTTCCAAGATGCACTTCTTTTTGTGCACCAGCAGACTACACCAAGCCTTAAGTCCGCTTGAACTAGATACCATCTTTGCAAAGCATAATTCACAATAAAACACTAAAAATTTCCTATACGTATTACTGTCCATAGCTATTAACTATGCATTCTTACGCAAAAAAGCTTTGAAATCTTTCACTTGTATTTCAATTGAACAAAGAAAAATCAATAACTTTCCAGAAAAGCAGAATCGAGAATGACCAAATCACTAGTGGCTCCTTATACTTTTGTTATCGATAATAGTCTTCTGTCCACTATTAAAAAAATAAACCCCCACCCCACCCCAACCCCCCAAGCATTGACAAACAGGTAAAAAACCCAAACATATAACTAAAATAATAATGTGAAACTTATTCTTAATATTTCTGAATACAGAAAATAAACTAATTAGAAGTCTAGAACACAAGAAATATTCACACTAACATAGATAACATGTAAGAAATTGATCAATGGAAAGTTATTCCTACATTACATAAACAAGGGTACCATCAGTCCATCGTAACAAAAGTGCAGCTTAACTAGAAATTTTTAGTTAACCCCAAAAGAGGAAAAATGAGGAAAACCTACAAAATTATGTTGTAATCAAAGTGTGGACAAACAAAATAACATTAAACTAACATCTCGAAACTCTCACTAGATCTTTGTCTCTCTCTCCCCTCCCCCACCCCTCCTCTTTCTCACACACTCACACAAAGCTTGCTTCAAGAAGCAATATTTTACAATGAGAGAAGAGGAAAATGAGATGAAACAAAGCCGAGAGTGGCCCCAAAAGGAAAAACAAAGCAAAAAAAAAGAGGAAAAAGACAAAGAGATGAAAGGGAAACATCAAGACTGATTTTGATACAATGTTATTTGTATACAAACTGCAAAGAGGATTTATTCAACTTGTATTCTCCCTCAATGAATATAAGACCTTCTAAATAAAAATCGTAAATAGAGTTCGGATTCCGTAGATAATATCGATGCGATTGTCTATAATGATACAAAAATGAATGAAATTCTCAAGATTCTTATTCATCCACTTAAGATTTTAAAATGGGTTGGTGGAACTT